CTTACATGTTGCTTTCAAAGTTTACATTTCCCAAAGCAATTGCAATCACTACTGGTTTATTTAGTAAAAACAGACATAAAGAACAGATTATAAACATTTACACAACATATACCAGCAACTATAAAGGTAGTCCTCATTTTGTGATCACAATTGTGACTGGCAACTTAGTCATTAAGCAAGTGCTCACTAAGTGAAAATGTCTTTGCTTATAATTTTACTCTAGCTTTCCTATGCATCGCAGACACGTAAAACTTGTAAATGCAAAAATTCATCACAAATTTAATTTTTGCTCACCATCCTAATGCAAATGGTTATTAAACAAGGACTACCTGTAAAGACTTGTGCTTTTCAAAGGACCAAGAGATTAGATTTGGAAAGTCTTTTTCAAAGAAATTTCAAAGAGCCACAATTGAAAAAGTGGAATTCTTAACAGAGAACAATCTAATTTTCTTTGTGAGTGGAATGTATACCTGCCTCATCACTTCACCATAATGTGGTGTATTAGAAATCAATAGGGAAAAGATATCCCTTCACAATATTGTGATCCGGGCTATATTTGGGCTTTCAGTACCATGTTGCAACATGCCCAAAGAACAAAAAAGAAAATGTTAAACAACAATCTAAACAATTTATTAATATATTTAAGGGGAAATTAAAAAGATGCAGTATTTTTATGATAGTTAAGAGATCTATACTTAGCAAGCCTACATGTTTTTAGTGGCAAAATACTTAAAATAAATTTATCTGAAACACTGGATTTCCTGCTGGTGTTAACATGCAATAATGAAACTTCAAGAAAAGGAACCATGAAAAATATTATCCACACACATACTTTCTTTAGTACCTGGATAGCTTTACAGTTCTTCTGTCACAATATCCACGCTATAATAGGGCAGCTGTCCAGCTATTTGAATGAGATACCTTTTCTATTTAAAAGGCAAAACTTCATTTTTTAATTGATATTCAAATATCTTAAGCATCTAATTTACATAGCAGCCCATCTCATAAACATGATTCTGGGCCATAAAACAAATACTATAAACAAATAAAAATAACCATTTAAAACAATTCAACATATACAGTAAATGAGACAGTGGGAGAATGGAACAAAATATTACACACAGTGCAATCACCTCATGGGCTCCCTATTTTCATGGGATCCCCAAGCTTGATTGGAAAAAAAAAAGATTTTGAGAGAATTCTAGAAGGCCATTAGGACTAGGGCTAATGTCACTTTGGGGCAAATGATATTCACTGGGGTGGTGGTGGTAGTGGTAGTAAATTCTGCTGCAGAAAAGGCCCACCTCCTGATTCCCATCAGATGTGATAAATACAGATGTGACTTTAAATGTGCCCCTCCTCCCAGAGTTGATGGTATGGTTGTTAACAGCAGCGATTGTAACAGACCATTTATGATATTTATTTCAAAGCATTCACATTTTAAAATTAATGACTGTAGATGACTTTCAAACTCTTAACAAGAAGCGGCACAATCTTACGTATCTGAAAGGTAATAGCAAAAAGTGCCTTGCTATGAACTCCGGCAGCAAATCTTTTTGATTGCTTAGACTCATCTGAAAATTTAAGAGACCATTATAGAGACCATTTTCACATAATGTCTTGAAAAAAGTTAAAAGTTTTCAGGTAAGGTTCCAGAGAATTCTGGAATTTCATGATTGGTCACCAGGGGAATTACAAACCTAGAGAACAGTTGTATTAATTAACCACGTAACTTTATTTTCCAAAGCAGACTATGAATATTTGGTGGTCTGGCAAGTGACATATGTCTGAACATTTTTACTGATGGAAAATATGCCGCCATTCTCACTACTAGAGTGACATACACTCCTTGGGTTTCTCTTTAACAGAATATATCTTGGTGAAAGTTAAGAAATTCTCAGCTATTTCGTACTATATGTGCCTTTGCTTACTTTATATTCATATCTTCCAGTGCTTTCATTGTGCTGACCAAACAAAATATATCTGCATATGTTAATCATGTGGATTTTTTTCTTTTCTTTACATAGAAAATGTTTTACACTTTAGAAAAAGTTGGATGGAGACAAAGAGTCACTCTAGTAGTGAGATTGGTGTACATATATATTTAATAAATAAATATAATTTTCATCAGTAAAACAAATGAACAAAACACTATATTCCAACATATACATCGAATAATTAACACAGCAGCAATTATCTACATCTCTTTAAACCTAAATTTGCATGCACCAGATGGGGGGGCTTGGATGGGTGGAATGACCTATAAAGTCACAGTTTGGCTGGAGCATTCTAGCCACCAAGATGCAATTGCTTCTGTTTTACCATCCTGACTTCTCTATATGCAATGTGAATACATGTACATGTGTGCAAGGACAATCCAAATTGCCCTTTTACCACTAATGGTAAATGCCCTTTTACCACTAATTTCTTCTTAAAATTGGAAGATACCCAGCAGCAGTACATTCTGTATAAACATATACTTATTAATTTAACTTCTGAATTTGACAATATAAATTCACTTATCTAAGGAGTAAACTAAGAACAGAGAATGATTTGGATTCATGACTGATTAAGCAATTTGTGACCAAACACTATTTATTCTAAAGACCACTACTGTCCACTTATATGCCCTTCTAGTGAACACAAATGGGTTGTAACTATAAGAAAATATACACTATGCTGCCTTTATTCATTGAAGCAGTAAATGTTTCAAACACATGCACACAAGAATATCTATTCCATTTTTTTTTAATTTAATGACTTAAAAAACAGGAAACAATTTTCCTTGGATTCAAGTTACAAAGAAAATCCTTTTAAGAATAAAATCAACTAAAAGTGTATTTGTCCAGCAATATAAGTAATTGTTTAACATTCCATTTTGAGTAATCATTAACTTTTGCTTGTATCAGAAAGCTATAAAAACAATGGATGGGAATGCTAAATAGTAAACAAGTACTGTTCAGATAGCCAGATCAAGATTGTGAAATAAGAGAAATCCAATGAACAACAAAACAGAAGTATATTGCTAAGATGAATAACCTAAGAGTAATACTGTAGTTTTTGTAAATCTTTAAGTATCTAGAACAGGGGTGTCAAACTCGCAACGTCACGTGACGTGTTGCAACGTATCGTGGCTTTTTGTGCCATTGCCGGCAATGGGGCGAGCACGGTTTCGCTATGATGCATCCGGCCCATGGGCCGGCAGTTTGACACCCCTGATCTAAAACCTCCTAACAGGTAAATAAGGAACTGAAGACAGCTCTTCAACTGCTCTTCTAGATTTTTTTAAAACTCACTATAATTAATGTTAATTAAAAAAGAACATTATATCATCATCTTGTAGCAATGATTTAGTTAAAATATTACTAATATCTAAGAGCAGCTCTATTATTATTAAACTGTGTAAGACAGTAACGTATCGTGTTCACAAGTATTATCTAGTTGAGGAAAAAGGTAATAGTGTGTACAAATGAATAAAACAGCTAACAGTAAATTTATCTGGTACGGTTTATATTTTTTAAAGTAATAAATCAATCATTTCATAAGACAACCTACTTTTAATAAGACTGAATGTGTAGTGACACTTGCAAAACATTCCAAACAAGAAAAAAATGTCTGTCAAAATTAAACAACTGAACTGCATAAATTTACTTCCCTATAAACTGATGGATAGAGGAGCTATTGTAATAATAGCACTGACTTCCTTTCAGCTAATGCAACTGTAACATAGATGGTATACAGATAAAACTTCCTTTAAGGGTCAGCTGTATAAACTGCCCATTTAGTATACCACTTCCTCTTTTTTTAAAGAACTGTTCAGCATACAGTTCAAATTGCAGAGCATTAAGAATTTAATTAACAAAGCAGGAAATGGCTCTACGTTGTAAATGGTTTCAGAGCTTCTTTTAAAAAAATGATGTGTACCTCTTTGCTAATGTTATTATTATTCAATTTTACAGACAAACTTCTGTAACAAGCTTATCTTATCCATACAGGCAAAAGTCCATATGAGAATGCATTCAAAGCACCTCTAAAGAATATTGTAATAAATAATGTCTACATTACTGGACCCAGATTCAAATCCTAAATTTTGCCCTGAAGCACAATTCAGAGACTTATGAGCCAATCACCTTCTTCCCAATTTTGTGGGATTTTTTGCCATGATCAAATGAGAAGACAGCAAACTAGACATCTTGCCTTGACCTTCTGAAAGAAAGGCGAAATATAAATTTAGCTAAGAAATACTTACAAATTGAATCAGTGCTCTCATGATATGCTTATCAATGGTTTTCTGAACTAACCCAATTTTTCAGGTTTGCAGGCTTCATTGCATCATATATTGCTGTGATTGGTACAAGGCATTGTCAGTATTTCAAACAATGTCTGACCCAACTAACATCTAATAGTCTGGAGAAAATTGGTTTGGGAAAGGCTGATCTTCCCACTGTCTCTAATTTCACATTATATAAATATTAATATGTTAATTAAATTACTGCAGGGCAGATTGTCTGCCTAACTTGGGTTAATTTCAATATCTTGTAAAAATATCTTGTAAAAATATAGGCAAAGACTCTTGAATAAAAGGAAAATGATGGAGAGATGATGCACACATGACTATACAGTACCAAAATCAAGCATTACAATATACTGATTAGCTTGTTGAGAGCCAGTGGGCCCAGACACCCCTTCAATTGTCAACATCGGAGGGCAAAATCTCCCTTTAAATATTTCCAAGCACCCCACATCCGTCAGAAGAAAATTAGAAGCAACGACCCACTGTGATTTAATTCTCTACATACAATTTGACCCTGAACAAAGCAACAGCCAACTAACCCAAGCAGCTTTCAGTCGAACCGGACCGGTAGGAAGATCGTAGTCGGATCAAAGAGAGTTCCACAGACTCTAGCAAAACCAAGTCATCTGCCTGGACAAGACTAAAAAAAGCGAGAAAGTGGCCGCCAAAAACCGCTTAAAGTGGTCGGAAAAGAAAAGGGACTTACTTTCCTAAGCGTGGAGAGATGAACTTCACCAATTAAGTCCACCGTTTCTTCAGCCCGGAGGCTGGGAAAAAGGAGAGCGAGCCCACAGCCCAGAAGGATCCTCTCTGAGAATGAAGTCGCCCGGTTTTCGGAACTTAAAAACAGGGGAAGTGAAAACCTAACCAAGAAGAACCGGCGAGGCTCATTCTCGCTTCAGTCAGTCCTGCTCCGCTACAGAGAGGAACCTCGGGCGCCTTGCAGAGGCTACTGTGCGTTCCGACTTTACTTCCTGGTCGTGAGCAATTTGCATAGTTCTTCTGGAAAGGGCGCCCGGGCGGAGAGGGGGGCTGCGCTGGGTAAAAAGAGAAGTAAGAAAAAAAAAAGTGGGCATTTTCCAAAAAGGGCGGGCGCAACCAAACTTGCAAGAAAGTTGCGTCTACAAGTAGCCACAAGAGCGTCTTCCCAAATGGGCGCAAGCCAGCAGCTGCGGGAGAGGGGGATGTGGGAGAGAGGTTCGGTTTTTTGTGCTCAAGTAACGCCAATGGATAGAAGCGGCTTCTTCGCTGCATAAAAGAGGGAACGGATTGGGCAGAAGCTGCAGTGGTCTCACAGCGCGTCTCAAACCCAAATGGATTGCCCCTCAGCTTTCCTCTACGCTTTTATTCCGATTTCCCTCAGCGAATCCGCCACGAACTGGGTTCCTCTCGAAGCCTCCGGATTACAGTTCCTAGAGTTTCCAAGCAATGTCACCCAAATTATGTAAAACAAGAATTTGAAGAATCCGAATATATCTGCAGGGGAAAGTTCTGTTGAGGTCAGTGAGGTTATTCTCGGGGGAGGGGGGAAGTACAAGAAACCACAGCGGCAGGTATTTCAGTGGGCTAAACATTTCGGTTCAATTGTGAACATCCTATGGTCATATTGGCCTGTCAGCATCTGCTCATGGGTAAAGGGGTTAACGTTTCTTGTTGTCTTTGTTTTCAAAGGTGTGAAGGTAACTATGAAGCACGTTTGTAATTTAGTCATTAAAAGCTCTTTGATTACATCGCTTCTGTGCTTAATTTATACGTACCTATCTACATGCTTGCGTGTACAACAACGTTAGCCTGGGATCATGGGAGTTGGCCAATCAGATCTTCAGGTGGGGGAAAAGTTGTTTTTTTCATGTATTCCAGTGTCTTCTCACCAATTATCTTTTAAAAGGGGAAAGCTAAAATTAGTCTTACAAGGAAGACAAATGCCATTAGATTATTAAATACAGACACAAAATTTAGTAGTCAATCTGAGAAGGACTCTTGTTTAGGGGATTTTATTTGATGGTATTATATTTTGCAATGACTTTATTTAGCTCACCTTTATTTTTCATAAATAAACCATGCAGTGACCATACTTTCCTCCTATGTTTCCCACAACAATTCTATGAGGTGAGTTGGGCTGAGAGAGAGTGATTGGTTCCAAATTACCCTTGGCCTTCATGCCTAAAGTGGGATTAGAACTCAAGGTCTCCTGGTTTTTAGCGTGGTGCCTTAACTAGTAGACTAAACAGGCTATTTATGGTAATAATTTCAGGGCAAACAAAAAAAGCAACATTTTGTTATGAAAGGCCATGATGGCCCTAACTTGGTGTTACTTAAAATGGCTTAAGAGAGCTTTGTATATTTGGGGCTATACTTACTAACCATGGTAATTAATTTGTGTATATTTTCAAAGGTGTATTCAGAGAAAAGTTAATCAGAGAATGGCTCTCAGTTATGTACTTCTTGTATCAGGGGCGCTGCTCTCAAAGCCTAGCATGGTTTGTTTTCATCGCATCTTGTTTGACTCTAAGCATTGTGTTTTTTAAATAGTTAATACAACATTTGATCCCTAACAACTGTGGCTTATTGAGCCAATTAGAATTTAGCAAACTGTGTGAATGCAATCAATGCATGAATTGGAATTTTTATCTCATCCATCTTGACAATTTTGCTTGCTTTCTTCAGTTTGCTTATTGAATAATGCTGAATCAGCTTTCTTAAACTCCATCCAGTTATTTTCATATTGTAGTACCCAGAATTCTCAATTGGATTTTGAACTTAAAGCCAATAAATGATTAAATTGCTATCTTGTTTAATTTTGGAATATATGAAGCTGAATCTTGGCCTAGTGATTATCATATATTCAAATTAAGATCAAAATTTCCCACTATAGAGGATAGAAATTTGGTACAGTATAAAGTATCCCAAAATTGAAGCAATAAAAACTTCAACAGTTTTTGGTATTGCTAACGAGACAAGCCATTCCAATTGAAATATGCCATATATATGTAAATTGTAATTTTCGATCTTCTTTAGGCACCTATAGGCAGTCCTTTACTTACATCTGATCAATTAGTGACCAAGGTTATGACAGACTTCCAAGGACTATTTATGACCTGGAGGTAGAAGCTATATTAAAAAAGGGTATAAGACACATTCTCCCTCAACTGCTCAGTTATGGAAGTGTGGATATGAAATTAGGGCACATTGATCTTACATGTTATGCAGTCATATAATATCTTGCAATACACGTTCCAAGTCCTTACAAATACAGATCGTCACCTGGATTGAAAATGTATCTATCATATTATGGCTTTAAGGGGCTGTTTGTCAGCAGATACCTGTTAGGCAGCTGCTCCTATTAAGCTTAAGTGATATTATATATACTGGCTCTCCATTTCTGTGTCATGCTTTTTGCTGTTTGAAGTGCTGCTTCTGTGTGTGTTTTGTTGTCTTCCTGAATAAAAGGACTCATTTGCCATTTGAAGTAGTTTCACTATGGACCCTGGGCTGCAATAGCATTGACAAACAGCACACATGAACCAGCAAGTGCTACATAGATCTCTCTAGTGATTCAACATTCCATTGTTGCCATGCATAGACTGTAAAACAAAGTAAACTTTTAAAACCTTTACTGACATTTGTTTCATATTTGTATATCTTTGTTTTAGTCTTTATGTTTCATGCGGTGCCAGTTGAAGTGATATAAAAGGACTTGGCTTAATTCCACCATTAATTCAGATAACTATGGAAACCCAGAGATCAAATTTGGTTTCATAAGAATAAATACTAGGGTCCTGTAAATAGATTGTTAAGTCATGACATTGTGTGCTAACGTTGAATTCTATGTTGGATAAGGTTACTGGTCAGAGAGTAGACCCCCAATTGCAAAAATTATACATCCTTGCCAGGCCATGATAAGCCATCATTAGGTTCTATTATCTGTCAACCCAATTATCTTTTGTATTCAGACATTGCATTAAACTGAAATGAACTATCATGTCAAAGCTTAACAAAGTATGAACCCAGCCATCGTACTGGATTTTGCAACTGGAATCCAAAATCTACATATGCTTAGTGTGCTTAGTGTGATGTGCATTCCTAAATCAAAGCTAGGTCTATCAGACTTCAGCTGGCAAAAGACTGGATGATTATTAGACAACAGCTAAGGCTAGGGCTATCTAATTGTCAGGGATTTTGCATTTCCAGTTCTGGTACCTTACAGTAGCTGAGAAGCAAGGTAAAATGACACTAAAGTATTGAAGCTTTCAAATTCTTTGTAACTTTTCATCTGAAGAAATGGTACAAAAAAGCAGGATGTAGTAAAGAAGCAAAAGATCCAAATTGTGATTGCTTAAACAAGGACTACCTGTATTTGTATTGAGTTGACAATGCTTGCAGGTAGTCTCCATTTAGCAACCACAATTCAATCAGTTGAAATCAACTCTATATTTATTTACATTTCTAAAAAAACTAATTTCCCCCTGAATGGGGGAATGGTCCTCGCTTTACTCATAAAACTGATAAAATTAATTACAGAAAAATATATTTAAACTAGCATATATTAAATTGAATTGTACCTATGCTCTACTGCTAGAAATCAATGTTGAACAATCATTCAGAGAAAGAAAATGGAGATGCATCTTTGACGTGTAATCCAAAGATTACACTTTCATGTCTCCATTTAGAATTGGGAGAGATTCCTTTTTGAAATCTCAAGAAACCAATAGCATCAAGGGGCTGTATTCACATGGCAAATTATCATGTACGTTTCTAATTGATTTGAAAATGAACTGATATTTCTAGTTCATATCTCATATCACATATGTTGTATGAGCATGTGGTTGGCTGATGGAATGAAGACAATTCCTTTGGGCCCCAGCCATGGAAGAAGCACTACCTAAATAATGCTTTATTTGAAATGATCAATATTTTAAATTCAAGACTATTAATGTCAGTGGCCAAAAAAAGTGCTGATCTAGGATGCTATAAAAATGTGATCCTAAAATAATTCTCTCTCCTCAGCCTCTCAACCTATTGAGAGGTCAGTCAAGGTACAACATTCTTCTGACATTTTCAGCATATTTTCCAATTACCTAAACTGGTAAAATACTATATGATGCCACCAAGTGCAAACTATTTTTTAAAAGAAATTTTAGCTCTTGCATCAGAAATGTATGTTAACTAATTTTTAAGCAGGTTATTTCCTGCATTTTAAATCAGACCTGATTGTTTTACCTCAAGGAAGCACACTTATTTTTCTCACTTGTAAGCTGGTATCAATAAATGAACAAATATTCCTGAATGGTTAGTTGAGGTAAAGTTTCTCATAAGGAAATAAGTAAAAGAATAATAATGGCTTAATAGATAGCATTAAATGATAAAAACATAAAAGAAAGAAAGTATTATAAGAACAAAAATATTTGAAGCTAAGTCACTAGGTAAACTAAAAAGCTTTCAGGCATTTAATGAAAGATAACCTTAATTTGATTACAATATTTTGAAGGACAATTTGTTGTATTCTGCCACACCTTTATGAATGAAGTTTTGATAACTGATAGGATGAGTTAGTTGAATTAACTGGGATTTCTGCAATATTTAATTGCATTAAACATTTTAATGATCAAGTATGGATTTTCTTACTGTTTAATTTACATCACCCTACTTCTTTGGTTTAAAAGTCAACATTCCCTGACCTTCTGTTTAGTGCAGGAGGAAATATTCTTTATTCTGAATATAACTATACAGCTAACATCACATGAAATCTACTATGACATGCATAATGACAGAGGACTGTATTCTGCTTTTTCTTAATTTTCCCATTTCCTTGTTGTCATTATTTCTTTCTACTTCTAACTCTGATAAGCCTGGAAGAGTTAGTTGCCGGCTTTATCAGTGTTGCTGCTTTAGAACTCTTTAAAACAGCTATACACTAATTTTACTGTGTATACATAAGTATAAACACATTTTAATGATTATAGCAATTTTTTCTTCCAAATTCTATATTTTTTAAATTACAGAGGAAAAATGGACACATAAGACAAAAATGAAAAACTAAACATAAAACAAAAGCTAGCATATCAAGACAAAAGACTGCTACATAAAATGAAATACCACTTACCAATATTTTTACACTCATCTTGTGAAACAAAGCTGCTTTAATACTTTGAAAGCAAAACATAGTCGTCAATATAGAGAGAACACCAGATTTTCTAACTTGCAATCAAGTAAAAAACATTATTAGCACTACAATCATTGTGAAAAGTTTCATCCAAGAATAAGTTTAGGAAATTAGGAATAGGCAAACATGAAATGGCTAAAACAGAAATGGGAGAACCTTCCTTTGATCCAGGCACCAAGTTACTTGGTTACAGAAGCCAGCTCCTCTCTGTGCCCTGCTGAAAATGGGAAGTGATGCCACAGCAAAAAAGATCAGCTCCTTCAAAGCAGCTGCTTCAGAACAGCTCTACTTAGGAACCTTGATTCAATCAATTCTCCTGTACTAGACTTCCTTTTCTCACCTGTCTTTCTCCACAAGATGCAACAGACTCTGCCCCTGGGCTGTGGGTGGGTGTGCTCAATAACTGGGAAGAACTTGAGGGCCCACTCGTTTCTATAACTACCATTTGACTATCTAAAACTTTACATGTTTTCTCCCTTTCCCTGACACACAAGAAAAAACATGAACATCCAGGAACCTAAAAAAAGATAAGAGATGTCACATCATTTACCCTGTTCTAATGATTTTGTCTTAAAGCTCATAATAAATTCAACTTAGAAAGTTAATGTTTCTTTTAATATTTGTCAAAACCTACCTACTTTCAGTATGGCTATTTAAACTTTCTGACTGCAAATCAAAGATCCATGAGGAAAAGAGTTTAATAACACTGAAGTTATTTTTTACTTCAGTATGCTGAATAGAGCCACACAATCCTCTCTGCTGTCTTACCATCCTTGGTGGGAAGGCCACTGATGCATTCCATTTGAAAATGCTGGCAGTTAACAAGTCAGCAAAAGATAAATAGCATTTAGTCTCAGATGTTACCAGGATACGGCCTAGTTAGTACTCATATTGAAAAGAAATAGTGGCCCATAAACTATCCTAGAAAATTTGATAAAACTGGATGATGTACAGGATGGTTATTGTTTATAGACTAGATCAGTGGTGGCAAATCTATGGTACATGTGCCAGAGGCAGCACTCAGGGCCCTCTCTGTGGGCACATGCGCTGTCGCCCCAGCCCCGCCTCCCCCCACGGTCCTCACCAGCAGCCTCTCTGGAGTTGCCCCCGGGCGCGGCCCAAACGGAGCAGTGCAGCCAAGGACATGACAGCTGGGCAGCAGGGAGAAACACTTAAGATTTGCAGATGATGTTGCTCTCTTCTCACAAGACTCAGAAGAGCTATAAAGACAATACAAGAGCTGCATAAAGCAGAAGAACCATTTGACTTAAAAATAAACCTGAAAAAGAGCCAGGTTATTTTTAATAAATTCAACAAAGAAAGAAAAAAAAATATATTTGGAGAAGAACTAGACATAGTAGACTACTACATATATCTTGGCCAATGGGTCTCAATGGAAGGTGATACAATGAAGGAAATTGAATGGCGTGTTAAATGTGGTTGGCAGGCATTCGGCAAGCTAAGCATAATTTTCAAGAACAACCTCCCTCTTTGCCTGAAATGTTTTCAGTGTGTTTTCCATCAGTGTGTGCTACCTGCTCTAACATATAATAGTGAAACATAAGACACTAACCCAGTGATGGGATTCAGCCAGTTCGCACCAGTTCCGCAGAACTGGTAGCTAATTTTTTGTTGCTCAGGTCCAGAATGGACTTCCGGAAGCAGGATCCACACAGAGAACTGGTTGTTCACATATTTGAATCCCACCACTGCATTAACCTCACAATTGATACAAAAGCTAAGAGTGATGCAAAAACTATGGAAAGATGCATGCTCGGCATTACAAGACAAGATAGAAAGACCTGCACATGGATTAAAGAACAAACAAAAATATACGATATCACCAAGAGAGTAAAAGAATTGAAATGAAAATAGAATGGTCACATAGCAAGAAGAACTGATGGCAGGTGGACCTAGGCAGTCAGAGAATGGATCCCATTTGATAAAAAGAGACCTAAAACAAGATGGATTGACGACATCAGCAAGTATTGCGGGCCCAATTGGCAAAAGAAAGCTCAGGGACTGTATTGGTTGGAAAAATGCGGAAGAAACCTTTATCCTGCAATAGATAAACAATGGTTAAAATGATAGTGATGGTGATGAATGATTTATCAAAACATTTAAATCATCAGTATTTTGGTTTACTTATTTCTTCTACCACAAATCCTGAGCTTTTGTAAATTAAATTCTTACTACTATAGATAATTTGTAATTTCTACCTAAAAAACCCATCATTTTTAAAAAAATATATATAGTAGGAGTCTTAAGCTGAACAGCTTTTCTTTTTGTTCTCCATTTATATCAAACCTGGGCATTTTACGGTCTTCAGGCCACATCCAGTCTGTGGGCAATCCCAGTCTGGTTTGTGGCAGCAGGGAGGGGCATTGGTGTAGTGTTGGTGGCAGGCAGTGGCCGGCCCTCCACAACATGTCCCTTGGGAAAATTAATTGCCTACCCCTGATTATATTCATGTTTATCAGATATGAGAGCAAAGCTAAGAATAAACTAGAGAACAGATACAACACTAGGATATCCTGGGGTATTTAGCACGTATAGTTAGATATATGACTCACCAAATTGTTTAATAACCAGACCCTATCAGATAATTCAGCCCCTCCTTTTTTCTTGATAAAAATATATGCACATATAACCAAGCATGTGCGTTTTAAATACATGATTTTTAAAACAAATTTTACCTGATCTTCATTGAAAAAAAATCCTAAAAACAGTATACAATACCTGTGAAAATAAAATATTCACTATCTTCAAGCTGGGGAATGGGGAAATGTCTCTTGTGATAGGCTAATGACCCATTCTAAAAATGGACAGAACAAGGATTAAAACAAAACTTCCATGATTTTTACAATCATATATACATACAAATATTATTTCCCATACATTTAATCATTTTGTTCATTAAAATTACAATTTGGTGTAGCAGGAAGTTCATATGATTCTCATCTTCGCTTTACACTAATAGCTTAATATAAACACACAATTTTACTGCTGGTAATAATAAGGCAAGAATTCAATGAAACCCAAATACATCAAGGCAGAGGTTAATTCAAAGGAGTAATAGAAAAAAAAACCACAGCACGTTCAGTTGTAAACTATATCCAGGATTCAATAACTCTAAGGAATTGAATACTCATTAATTTAGAATGACAACTATTATCAGGCTATCACTACAGTATCTCTACAATGAGAAGGGCAGATGATTAGCCATCATAACACTGCTTTGTTCTTACCTGAGTCCATAATGATATGTCACATAATTGTTTATCCTTTCCTAATATTAATGCTATTAATAAGCCCTGGATGCAGTTTTGTTCATTTGACCTATATTAAAGCAAATAACAGCCACAAAACTGTATACATGATTGTAATTGAATCAACTTCATATAGTTAAGAACTGTTTCAAATGTTGAATATCCTTTCCTCTAGGACTGTGGTTCTCAACCTGTGGGTCGGGACTCCATTTGGGGTCGAACACCATTTCATGGGGGTCGCCAAACAACGCAGTCTGCCATTTTTTCCCCCTTTCCTTAGCTGTGCTACTCCCTTTTATTCTATTGGCTTTTGAAAGCCAATAGAATAGACTCTCTTGAATAGAGTCTAATCTATTGGCTTTCAAAAGCTAATAGGAATTGTCCAGGCTGTCTCTGCCCTGCTGAGCCCGCCGAAAGTCCCATTCTGCAAACGGTGCTGTAAGTTGTCTGCAGCGAAAGCGAGCTGTCTGGAAGTTTCCACCCCTCCCTGCTGAGCAACTACTAAAAATGTAAGTAAAAGAGGGCCAGGGGTGGGAGGCCAGTGCGCGCAGGGAGGGTTGCTGGGGTGCGTGGGGCCCGGCGGGTGCCTTACCTCCCTTGGGCTGGGCCAGCTGGTGGCCCAGCCAGTGGTCGGCCTGTGCCATCTCTGCCGCTTGCCAGCTATGCCTCAGGAGGTGCAGGGGGCGGCACCATGCATGTGCGGCGCTCCTGGGCAGGGAAAGTCCTCGACTTACGACCGGTTGGGTAGTCCTCGACTTACGACCGGTTGGGGTCGCGGCATTAAAAAGGTTGAGAACCACTGCTCTAGGAACATTCCTGTTCTAGCTAAGAATTCTCCTTAAGCAAAGTGATTTCTTCTTTTCTATGCCATTTCTCTTTTTCAACTCTATATTCCATAACTACCATAGATGCTCAGTACTTATTGCTTAATTGTTTCTCCTTTAATATTTGCTCGGAAAAGATATGTACTTTTCTAAACTTTGTGACCATCCTGAAAGAACGGATTTCTTTTACTCTTTGTTATCCACAATGCTGTTAGCACTCATAGTTTACTGTTAAAATGACAGGCAGTCCTTGTACAGTAATCACTTGTTTAGCAACCATATGAAGTTATGATAGTGCTGAATGAGGAGGAAACTGTTCGCAGAAGTTACAGCTGTTGCAGTGTACATGTAACAGTAACTTGAGAGTTTAGCAACCAGCACAGAATTATGCTGGTCACAGCATCTTGTGATTGCCATTTGCGACCATCGCTGCTGGCATTTGATAAAAGTCAAAGAGAAAGACAGAGGAAATCACAAGTCATGGTCATATGATATTGTATGATTCACTTAATGACCACAACCAGATTGTGCAGTTATGCATTTTTTTGCTTTACAACCACATCACTTAGCAATAGAATTCTGGTCCCTATTACAATTGCTAACTGAATTATAAATGCATTATAAATGAATGTTTCATTAATCTTTCTGTGTTGGTGAAATGTATATAATTAAATTATTTTATCCCAGTCAACTTTTATTCACAATATAGATAAAATTATTCCATAATCTCAGCCAACAACGATGAAAAGCAATCAATGAAGTATTTCAAAGGAGTATTAAATGAAATAGTTCCTTAAATAACTTCCTTCCACTGTGCCTGAAAAAGCAGGTTCCTCTCTTTTTAACCTTTTCATAGCCAAATGTATTAGAATAAAAACAAATAGATTAACCTAAGTAATGTAAGATTTTATGTGGAGTCTTGCTTCAGTCAATTCTCATCCTTTTAATATCAAAATATATTTTAAGTCTTTTTATAAAATATTTTATTGGTGTTTGTGACAAACATTTTAAACCATTGTTTTCTCAAGTTCAATAGAACATTGAACATTTTACAATAAAAATTGACAATAAAAGTAAATAAAAGGAATGATACTTAAAATTTGATTATCTCTTTTATCCCAATAAGCTTACTCATAAATAAGTCAGGATACATTTCGTCTGATTAAATCTCCAAAATAAGCAGTTATGGTCTTCAATCTATTATTCAGAAAATTTTGTTCTATTTCAACTTTTCCTCCTGGTCCAGCTAAGGAAGCTACCTGTAAAAAGAAAAATGGTATCAAAAATTAGACATTTGAGATATAATTGCATTTATGATGAGTAGTATAACTTGCAGTAATGTTTTATTATTTACCAAGTGGAACATTTACCCATCAGATACTCCTCCAGCAATTTAATTTTAGAATTAGGGTTAGAAATTGTTTCTTTCCATAATGCCTTTCTCCAGGATCTCTTTTAGCATTAATTTATTCCAAACTTATAATAAACCGATAGATAATTGCCAATTTCAAAATCCTATTCAAGAAATAATTGGTCATTGGTGAAAAATATTTTTCCTCATTTCAACTGTGATCTACAAATATTCTCCTTTACTACTACCAAATATTTTTCCCCTCCCCAAACATGCTGACTGGGTGAGCAAGAAGATAAAAAAAATAATCAAATGTGGTAAAAGCCAAAGATCTTTCTACTTTTTGTTCTGTTTATTCCTAATCCTTATTTCAGGTTTTCAGACCTACTGTAAAAATATAAAAGCAGCTCTGCTACATCACATCAAAAGTCCAGCCTATAAAGTATTCTGGTTAATTTTTGTTCCTATCAATACTCAAGTATTTTGCAGACAAAAGGCCTACATACAGTATATAGACTTTTCTTCTAGAACAGTGATGGCGAATCTTTTAGAGACCCAGTCCCCAAACTGCAACCCAAAACCCACTTATTTATCACCGGGTGTCGGGTGGGTGTGGCCG